CCGAGGCATTTAGCAGGAGAATAATTAGTGGTGGAAAACTTACGCTGTAAAGTAATGTGTATTGGAACATCTTATAACTGAAACTCAATCATGAACACCTTTGTAACTTTCTATATCAGGGTGATTCCATTTTTTTAAAAAAAGAAGAAAAATGAAAGAAAGCTCAAAAGCAAGAATGAATTTGCTATTTCTTGCTTCTTTCAGGTGTGGCTTCCATTTCTTTACAGCAACAGTAGGTTGAACCTGGGGTGGGGGTGATGGTGGGGGTGGGGCAGAGGGGTAAAGGAATTATGATGCTCTTGTAGCAAAGGGTTGAAATGATTTTTGTCTTGAGGCTCCACCTAGCAGTGCTCAGGCCATATGGTGCCGTGGATCGAAGCCAGGCCTTATTTGTGCAAAGCATCAGGTAGGCCTGGCTTCTTTTGTCTGTTCAGCTAACACTCCAGTCCTATATAAGTGAATTTATACTAAAGCTCCACATGTTGGCACTCCACTGTCATCTTTTAAAAATTTGGGGCTGGAGAGATGGTACAGCAGGTAGGGCATTTGCCTTGCACACAGCCGACCTAGATCCTATCCTCAGCATCTCACATGGTCTTCAAGCCTGCCAAGAGTGATCCCTGAGTGCAGATCCAGGAGTAAGCACTGGGCATTGCTGGATGTGACCCCAAAACTGTTACTGTCCTCCTGTTGTTCATCAATTTGCTTGACCGGGCCCAGTAACGTCTCCATTGTGACACTTGTTACTATGTTTGACATATGGAATACGTCACGGATAGCTTGCCAGGCTTTGCCATGAGGGCGAGATACTCTCGGTCGCTTGCTGGGCTCACTGAGAGGGGCAGAGGAATCGAACCTGGGTTGGCTGGGTTGGCCAGGTCGGCCGCGTACAAGGCAAACGCCCTACCCACTGTGCTATCACTCCAGCCCCAAAACAAATTAACAAAAATTAAATGGAAGTCACGGGTGTTCAAGAAATTCAGTGAGGTCAAGGCTAAAGCCAAGTCAGACTCAGGAACTCAACATCGGTTTCATGAAAACTCTTACTGTACTTTGTTGGGATAATCAAAGTGGGTCAAGTGTCTCATAATTTTTTTTTTATTCCTTAGGTGGAATTTGTTCAAGAGCTTCCAAAGACAATCACTGGGAAAATCAAACGCAACGTTTTAAGAGACCATGAATGGGGACGAAAATAGCTTAATAGAAAAATTGAGCGATGATATAGTTAAAAGTCTAGTCTAAGACCATGCTTCCAGATCCAGTAATCACTCTCCAAATGCTTCACATTTTCCCTGGCTTTTTGTTTTGTGGGGTGGAGCGATAGCACAGTCGGTAGGGCATTTGCCTTGCGCGCAGCTGGCCCGGCTGAGCAGGGTTTGATTCCTCCACCCCTCTCGGAGAGCGCGGCAAGCTACCGAGATATCTCGCCTGCGCGGCAAAGCCTGGCAAGCTCCCCGTGACATATTCGATATGCCAAACACAGTGACAAGTCTCACAATGGAGACGTTACTGGGCCCGCTCGAGCAAGTTGATAAATAATGGGAGGACAGTGCTTTGTTTTGTATCTAGTCTAAAAATAAATTACAAACTTTAATTATTGGGGAAGGAAACTGGTATGACCCTGTTAACAAAGACAATGAGTGTAGTGCTTAAAATAGGAGTTGGATGATTATATAAAAATGCGGTCCTTCTCCTGGAAGGGAGCATAACATGACACTCGCCATAACCATGCCACTGGACCCCATGCCAGGCTGTTTCATCCAGGGTGCCCCGGAGAGGGGTGGGTGAGACCCCTCCCCACCCCAAGGGACCCAGTCCCGGCAGCTGAAAAACTCCAGAACTCAACCGCTGCCATGCTCACTGCCACTCTCCACACGTTTGGGCTGAGCCTCACCAAGTCAACCTATTCCTCCACTGCACAGCAACTAATGCAGTCACACCACACTTCATACTACACACCACCTATACCCCAGGAAAACTGCACATTTGATGGGGTTCAAAGTAGAGGGCAACCAATCTTGGAGGGAAATATTTTTTTACAGATATATATAGCCAAGGCTCAACTTTTAACATGGTAGTGATCTCTTATAGAATGACTTAATGGCTCCTGGGTGAAATACAACAATCTTCACACCCTTTCCTCCAAGGAAACTTTTTTGTAGCACTTTCAGCGGTTTTTCATAGCAAACAATACAAAATATATTATTTTGGTTCTGCTTTGGGGCAAGGGTTGGGTTGGGGTTCGGGATGGAAACATCCGAAATATGGTGGTGGGAAGGTGGAATGGCGGTGGTATTGGTGTTTGAATATTAGATGTAATCAAATATTGTGAACTACTTTATAAAATTAAAAAATAAAATTTTTAAAATGCAGAAGGGACATAGAATTTATCTTCGATTAATTCAAAATAAGTATTATGAACTATACTAACAAGTATTCAAGAATTTTTGCTTAACGTCTTTATATATTACAGAACTTACGTGAATTACAATGAAACATTTAAATAACTTAATAGTGAATTTAATTACTGTATGACTCTAACTCGCTGTGCTATCGATCCAGTTCAGCAGGTAGGGCTTTTGCCTTGCACACGGCCGACCCGGGTTCAATTCCTCTGTCCCTCTCGGAGAGCCTGGCAAGCTACCAAGAGTATCCCACCCGCACGGCAGAGCCTGGCAAGCTCCCCGTGGCATATTTGATATGCCAAAAATAGTAACAAGTCTCAAAATGGAGACGTTACTGGTGCCGGCTCAAGCAAATCGATGAACAAGGGGAGGACAGTGATACAGTTTTATTACTGTAACTCAATTTGATGGACATTCATCAAGAAAAATCAAAAGTTTAGCTTACTTAATATTTATTCAAAAGCAACTAAGGTAAGGTAAAGGTAAGGTAAAGGCCCTCCCGTTGATCGTCGATTTGCTTGAGCGGGCCCAGTAACGTCTCCATTGGAGACTTTGTTGTTACTGTGTTTGGCATATCGAATACTCTCGGTAGCTTGCCGGGCTAATAAATTCTTTATTCTCTAGGTCTGTTTCCTGATAATTTGATAAATAGCTTTTATGTGTTGTGAATACAAAATCCAATTGCTTGCCTTAATGTTCAAGAGATAAGAGTTGGTTTAAGTTTCTTCAGGTGGAAGGGAACCTGAGGACTTGTTCCCCCAGAACCTTTCATCTGACTCTCAGATTAGGACATGAGTTTTATAAACAGCTGCAGGAGGAAGTAACTGGTAGGTCAGTGGCAGAGACTGGACCAAGTAACATTACACAGCATGTCCTGCTAAGGGCAAGGTGATTGAAACCATTGTGACATGTATTCTTTTGAAAACTTAAGATATTTCACTATGGCAGCCTTCTATGTGAATCACCAAGAGCTGGGCATTTATCTGTTCTTTTACTTTCGTTTGTGATTGGCTCTGAGTTTAACACTGAAGAGTTTATACAACACATGAAAGGAAAAAAAGAAATAAGGACTGCAATAGGTCTAAAACTCCTGTGGAGAACAAGATGGAGTTTCTAGTGCCTGTTCACTTACGCATCTACTAATCATAAAGCAAGAGATTTATAAGAAGCAAAAAAGAAAAACCACCAAACACCAATTTTAGGGAACAAAATTATTTTTATTTTTTGAAAATATCAGGGACTTCGAAAATCAAGCTCAGTGTTGGCAGTACCAAAAGCAAATACAAGTTAACATCTAGGATGACGAGAAAAGTTTTAAAATACATAGTTTAACGCTCCTTCACAGAGAAAAACAAGTTTACCCAAACAGAACAGTGAAGTGTTTTTTATTGACCCAGGTTTTTTTAAAGACAATTTTCACACTAGAATTTCTTCATTTATAAAACATGTTCAAATGTCAACGAAAAATAGGTGATAAACTTAAAGACAAATATTGAACTTGGAAAACAAATATTGAACTTCGATTTTAACAGAACAGTTCTTAACTACGGAGATTAAGTTTCTGTTATACTCGAGGCTTGCCAAATACAAAATAAATACGAAACAGGATTAAATACAAACACGGAAGTCAAAACTATCTCTGCAGAGTTAGCAACTTTCATAAAGTAAAAGCAGCTGGTTCTGCATGCCTCTAAGTTCTATGGGCATCCAGTTAATTTCATTCTCAAAGTCCCACTTAGACTTTCCACTAGCAAAATTATCTTAGTCTTGGAGGAAGTCTGGTGAAAACACCAAAATCCTATGATGTGTTCCTCCAAATGACACTAGCCATGCTCTTAACCTAAGGATGACCAATTAAGAGTAAACATCCCAAATATCTAGACCCTTAAGGGAAGTTCCAGCCTCATCTATACTGGCAAGGCCTATCTATTCTGTGTCGCTCCCACATCCTTGAGTATGATTTTCCAAGAGGGATCATCCCTAGCTAGGATAAAAATATATTTCCACATTCCCTATTAAGTAAACATAACCACTGATGCAAAAAGACATTTCCAATACTTCTGAGCTTTAAAAAAAAAATTCAAGAATAAACCTTTCTCCAAAAGTTTGCTTCATCCCCCTTTGAACACCATCAATCTGAACTTTTAATTTTTTGAAGTCCTCCTTGGTATCTGTCTTTTCTAGCTTTTTATGATTTTACCCTGGAGAAACCTTGACAAGCTTCCTGGTTAAAGGACGTCCCCTGCCTATCACCCAAAGTATGCGAGTGTGGGCATTAAACTGCAGGCTGAAATCCAGAATTATCCAGAATCCAGCTGAAATTCACTGAAATCCAGAATTATCAGACCAGAGCTCAAGAGTTCTTTCTTCCTCATCTTTCACAGACAAAATCTTAGGTTAAGATTTAGAGGAAGAGCACTGGAGGGATAGTACAATGGGGGAGGCTTCTGTCTTGCATGCAGCAGACCCGGGTTTGATCCAGAGCATCCCATATGGACCCTGAGCACTGCCAAGAGTGATTCTTGACTGCAGTGTGGCCCAAAAGTACCCCTACCCCCCCCCCCCCCCAAAAAAAAGGATTTAAGAAACCAGGCTTCTGTTATACCCCCAGTCCCCAGCGCTGAGGAAAGGCAGAGAAACGCTAACTGGGTTGTGCAGTGTCAAGGAGTTTTAATATGACTTGAGATTTGTAACTACTCTTCTTTAGTCTCAAACTCAGAGGATGTGGAATTATTTTAAGAGCTCCTGCAGCAATACGAGTGTTCCAATGACTTCCTTTTTTAATGAAAGAATCCCGTCATTAAAAGAAAAACCCTGTTCTCTTAAGATCTTTCAGAAATTTGTTCATGCTATGAATGATGTCTGCTAACGGGCTACTAATCTGTGGCCATTCTTCACCTCCAGCGTATGTGACAAGTCTGCCCTTGCTTTTTCCTATTTATTCTCCAGCAAAGCACTTGTAATTCAATATCCTGCCGAGAACTCTTCCTCCGATAAACAGGAGTTGTTTTTTCTAGTCACGAATCATATGCTTTTTATTCAAATTTTGTATTTTGAGTGTTTGAAAAAAAAACATAAACAGAATGCAACCAATTTTGTTATCATCATCATAAAGTTTCATCTCCAAGCTTCTGGGTTTTATATTTTAAATCGGCACCTCTCTGTGTGCTGTAACATCAACTTCTAGATTTTCTTATACTAATCAAGGGAAAGTATCAGCGAGAACAAGGAGTATGTCCAGATGGGCAAGGAGTACAGATGACAGAACCCTTTTGGTTTTCGGATATGAAGCTGTGCATAAATTTTGGCCTTTCTCTCGGAAGGTTCCAAAGAGCAACAAAAGTTTTCTTCAACTTCATCACTTACAACCTCACTAATGAGACAGTCAAATATTTGTGATATTTAATTATCAACCTAGAGAAATGGCTGCTTTTCAGTTAATTACACAAATTTCGTTAGCATCATGTGACATACTATTCAGTAGTCTTTCTCAACCTTTTTCTAACCGTGGCCCCTTTCTGATCCTCTCTAGGACACGACAATTGCCCTAGTCTCAGGCAATTGACCCTATTTAGGTGATTGTCACCCAGGATCTCCTTAAAATATCCCCAGGACCCCTAGGATTGAGAAATGCTGGTCTAGTACAACTTATTGAGTTGTCTTTTCAACTTCTTATAAGGTATCATGTCCTACCATGCTCATGCTGATAATATTTCTTAAAAGCAATATAGATTCTTTTTCTGGACTAAGTTCTGCTACTGAAAAAAAAATCACCTCCTCAACTTTAGCTCTAAAAAACAAATGCTTTACCACTTTAATTATTTAAAAGCCACAAAACAACCAACATCTTGACTCACCAAATGGTTCTGGTTTATAGTTAAAATTGCTGGAGCAAATACTAGGCGCATAATTTACACTGTACAGGCAACACACAATGGTGTAAAACAGCTTGAATTATGAATTCATAAAAAGAAATTGAGAAATAGCTATCCTTGCGAAGAATTTGTGTTCCTTGTATCACTAGCATACCAAAGTAACCCTGAAGATTATAATCACTAATCTTACCAGAAAAGTCTGTAAGGCTACATCTAAGATGATCCTCTTCAATTTTCTACTTTGCTTTTAAAAATTCCAGCACTCGAGCATCAAATTTGTGTGTAACAAATGTAATAAAACATAAGAAAAGTGGGCAGTAAGAAAATCACACACACGAAAAGTACAAAATCTTCATGAAAACAATTCACTTCACCTATATCCATGCCCATGTTTTTACAAGGCTTACAAGAAAGTGGTAGGGGATAGCTGACCTGGGCTAAGTAAAAATCTGTCTTAAAAATATATATGTATCTTTCCTTAGAATGAAAACTTCCCTCTCAGTTTCTATTCCCGAGCTTTGTTTTGCTCTCACGGCCACCAACTGTGAAGTTTCTCCTAGCTAAGTGATACAAGCCTACTGCACACACCACGCAGGGTAAAAGAGCTCTAAGAAAACTGTTCACGGAGCCTCAATCACGCCTCACCTTCTGGGAGAATGACATACGTAGCAAATTAAGTTCCAAACCGTTATCTTCAGTAGCAATTGTACAGAGAGCTCTAGCAACATCTCACACAACTGCAGTCGAGAAACCTCCCTCCACCTCCATTTTTTCTTATTTGAGGTCATTTTCCTTAGTCTTGGAGTCTTCTGGAGCTTGACTTACAAGCTCAGGCTTATCTTCCGTGCTTATCACAGTGGTCTCGGACATTGGTCTGGTCTCCCCCGGCTCCTCAGTATTCTCTGCTGCCACCTGCTGGCTATTTTTCCCATCTGCTGAATCGTTCTGACTTGATTGGTCCTCAGATTCCAACTTCGCTTCATCCCCATTTCCTGCTTGCACTGCCGGCTGTGACGGCTCCTTCCCGATCTTCACCACCTCCTGGAGATTGTATTTTCTGAACAACATGTAATCTTTCAAAACACTCAGGCAACAGACTGCTCTAATAATTTCTACGACCACTGTATACTCTGGGTCGGTGAGATCCACTTTATTTTCTGAATTGAGGCTGCATATTATTCCTGGGGCGGGAGAGAAAGAAAACATTTAGGATAACATTAAGTTTCACGGATTCTCCTTGCTTCAGGGACTTGCTAGAGATGTATCTAACGCTTATGCAGACTTCAAATCAAATTCTCTGAACTTTTCAATAAATATGCCTGTTATGCAAGGCAAGAGCCTTAGCCCCATACTTTATGTCTCCAGTTCCAGATTTGATATTATTTTTTTAAAAAATGGTTAATATGTTTATCCTGCACTAAAAGATGTAGGCCTAACACGTAAAGAAAAATATTCTTAAAAATAAGAACAAGTGGGCTGAAAAGACAGTACAGTGGGTAGGGCACTTGCCTTACATGCATCCCACCTGGTTCAATCCTTGACACCTCATATGGTCCCCAAAGCCTACCAGGAGTGATCTCTGAGCACAGAGCTAGTAGTAAACACTGCTCAGCTAGGTGTGACCCCCCCCCAATCCAACAAACAAAAACAAGTATTTACCTTTGCATACTTAAGAATATCATTAAGAGAAACTTACCTGCCAATTCTTTGATCACTAAATCTCTCTTCATATGACTATTATTTCGACATTTGTATACAATCTGAAATGTCCCACTGTTTGGAACTTTAAACCAGGGCTCCATAAACGTTTCAGCAAATTTTTTGACGTCTTCTAAGAAAGCCTTACATGTGCCGGAGATGGGCAACATTCGCAGAATAACCCGAGTCTTCTTCTTCTTGGTTGTGTATATGTCCTGGAGAATATGATGCACCAATTTCTCAGGTTCTAAAAGAAAAAACAAAAAAAATTATATGTGCGTGCGTGCGTATGTATAAAATAAGCACATTTTAATGGTACTTCAAACCCTTTAAAATGAATTTTCAGGGTTAGAGAGAGTTCAGCAAGTAAGGAGATAGTTCAGCAAGTAAAGAGACAGTTCGCAAATATCTTTCATGCAGCTAACCCAGTTTCAAACCCTGGCACAGGATATGGTGCCCTGAGCCCTGCTAGAAATGATTTCTGAGAACAGAGTCAGGAGTAAAGCTTGAGTACAGCTGGGGGTGGCCCCAAAGTAAATAAAAATGAAATTGAAGATAGAATATAATGCAATTTCATTGGCAGAAACATACGTTGACATCTGTAGCACTGTCGTCCCGTTGTTCATCAATTTGCTCGAGCGGACAGTAATGTCTCCATTGTGAGACTTGTTACTGTTTCTGGCATATCGAATATGCCATAGGGAGCTTGCCAGGCTCTGCTGTGCGGGCAGGATACTCCCAGCAGCTTGCTGGGCTCTCCAAGAGTGGCAGAGGAATCAAATCCGGGTTAGCTACATGCAAGGCAAAGGCCCTACCCACTGTGCTATCACTCCAGACCCACGTTGACATCAGAGTAAAAGAAAAAGTTCACAATTTTTCCAACTAGCATTTCTTCAGTGACTGTCACATATTAATAGTGTATGTAATACTTCCTCAACTAAGTTTTGCTTTCCTATTTGTGGGCTAGGGAGCACATGCTCTGCATATGAGAGGTCTGAGTTAGATCCCCTGAACTGCTGGGCACACTGTAGGGAATGACCCCAAGAAAGCACTGAGCACTGTCAGGTATGGGCAACCCCCAAATGTTTGTGAAGACACTGTAATCAACATTTTTGTGATGTATGCTTATCAGATTGAAACACCCCTACTGTCATTTCCATATAATGATAGTAACAATGCAGCAAACAAAATATAATGCGCTTTATTTTCACAAGATTCACAAAACTCTGCTAGTCACTTAAGAATAAATCCCATTTGTTAAATTAATACAGAAGCCCAGTTCTCAGACCTGGTCACGGTCACGGTCCTCCTGTTATTCATCGATTTGCTCGAGCGGGCCCAGTAACGTCTCCATTGTGAGACCTGTTGTTACTGTGTTTGGCATATTGAATATGTTATGGGTAGCTTGCCAGGCTTTGTCATGCAGGCTCTCGGAGAGAGGCAGAGAAATCGAACCCGGCTCAGCCAGGCTGGCTGCGTGCAAGGCAAATGCCCTACTGCTGTGCTATCTCTCCAGCCTTCTCAGACCTGAAAGGACCATAAATTGCACAGGGTCGTAATGCTGGCTTTGGGTCAGATCTATACCATATGTAAGTCTATAAGCAGTCATTCAGGGTTCTCAATGAAGGTGAAGGCCCTCCCGTTGATCGTCGATTTGCTCGAGCGGGCCCAGTAACGTCTCCATTGGAGACTTTGTTGTTACTGTGTTTGGCATATCGAATACTCTCGGTAGCTTGCCGGGCTCTCCGAGAGGGGCGGAGAAATCGAACTCGGGTCGGCCACATTGGCCGCTTGTAAGGCAAACGCCCAACCGCTGTGCTATCGCTCCAGTATGTTCATGTTATCTGTGTTTAAAATACAGAAACTTCTCCAGTTTTTGGGTTTTTTTTTTTTTTTGAAAAACCAGAAGATCTTGTCCTATAGCAATTACATTCTCAACTGGGTGGAATCATTCCCAACTGGCTGATGCTTTTAACACTGGTTCCTTTTAACACTGTAGCACTGTCCTCCCATTGTTCACTGATTTGCTGGAGCTAGTACCAGTAACATTTCCATTGTGAGACTTGTTACTGTTTTTGTCATATCTAATGGGAGCTTTCCAGGCTCTGCTGTGCAGGTGGATACTCTCGGTATCTTGCCAGGCTCTCCGAGAGGGACACGGAGGAATTGAACCCGAGTTGGCCACGTGCAACACAAATGCCCTACCTGCTATGCTATCACTCCAGCCCTTTTAGAACAACAACAACAACAACAACAACAAAAATTCTTGTTTTGTTGCAAGTTACATACAAAATAAGTGAGAAAGCAGATTCTAATCTTTCATCAATGCTGTCCACCACTCCTACTCCTATGACACTGTGTAAAAAGAAATGCAATTCAGTGATGAAGCCAGACCCCCACGAAGCCGTTTTGTAGGCAGTGCTCCCTGAATGTGAAGATATTACTAACGAACAATCTCAAGGCATATTATTAGTCAGAGACGTACCGATTCCAAGTGTCCTGATGAAAACAAGATTATTTGCTCCACTATCCACAGACTGGAATCTCCTTCGCCTTAGTACTGTAGATGCCTTAATGTCACCAACTTCTTTCTTCAAAGCTGCCTCCACATCGTCATCTTCCCCCTCTCTTCCTGAAGGCTGCTGGTCCTTGTCTGTAAACTGTTTACACTGAATTAATGAGCAGAAAAGCCACAACAGTTCCTGTAAAAAGCTAGAAGTAACTACTTATGTGACACCCCCACTGGCAGATGGCTCAGCATTGACAACGACGGTTTTTGTTGAGAGACAGGCACCGCTGCCTCCAAGAGGCAGAGGAAGAAGGGAGTTTAACAGGTATCATTTGAAGAGTGTTTTCAAAATAGCATTCTGGAAGTCTGAAAAGAGGGAACTGTGTTCACCAGATGAACCAGTCAGGGTGGATCTTAATCTCCTCACTAGATATTCTTGTGCGTGATTACAGCTCTCCTTCTGGTAAGATTAGAGCTAATGGGGGCCTAGGAGTGGCTCACAGGTAGAGCGCATGACCTGCATACACAAAGGCGCAGAGTTTGAGCCCTAACACAGCATGCAAGTCCCCCGCCCACTTGCACACTGGTGACAGAGGTTAGACCAAATAGTTCTGAAATTAGAACTCTCATTCCTGCTCTGCAGAGTAACAGAGCACATTACTAGGAGACCACATGCTTCTGGTTCAGCCCTCTACACCCATCAATGGAGTTTAAATAAGTTACTAGTAATAACTAGACTTTTTTTTTTTTTTTTTTTTGCTTTTTGGGTCAGCAATGCACAGGGGTTACCTCCTGGCTCTGCACTCAGGAATTATTTCTGGTGGTTCTCAGGGGCCATATGGGATGCTGGGAATTGAACCCGGGTCGGCTACGTGCAAGGTAAACCCCTGACCCGCTGTACTATGGCTCCAGCTCATTTCTTTTTTTTTTTAAAACTAGATTTATTCATGGAGCCTTTACTATATACCAAGATGTTCCTTTAAGTATAGAGGCAACACTTTAGGTAACGGTATTGTTCCTCTTTCTGGGAAAAAAAAAAGAATCTAGCTCAACAGAATTAGCATGCCCAAGCCTCAGATCTAGTCAAGGATAGTCTGAAGTCAATCACCTGCCGCTTCCTTCCATTACCTAATTCATGCATGTTGGCCCGATGTCAATAACACAATGATTCCCATCTGGAATGAGACTATTAGATTTTAGACGCCACTGATACAAGCTTTTACTTGTTTGGGGGCCACACCCAGCAATGCTCAGGTCTTACTCCTGGCTCTGCGCTTACGGATCGCTCCTGGCTGGCGTCAGGGGATTTTATGGGGTGTTGGTGATCGGAGATCAAATGTGCGTTGGCCACGTGAAGGCAAGAAAGTATTCTGAGGGCGCTCCTGCACCGACGTTTCTCTTCACTGTACGGCACGGGGTACTGAACCCAGGGGTTCGTGAATGCAAGGCACTCACTCTACCACTGAGTCACTATCTCCCCCGCCCCCCAGCTTTTACTCTGGAAAATGCTTTTGCGCATGCATCATTGTATCCACATGCGGAGCTGTTACTGCTGAGGGCAACACATCAGTTCGGAGACACAGATAAGCGCGGGCGGCGAGGCAGGCGGCCGGGAGGGGCGCCCTCGGCAGCGAGTTCGGGAAACTCTTCGGATTCAAAACCGAGCTAGGACTGCAGAGGAGTTGCCAGTCGTCATCAGCTCATGATTCTGCAAAAACCAAGGCTCGGCTCGGGGCCCAAAAGGCCCGCCAAAGGGCCCGGCCAGGCCCACACAGTGGCAAAAGCCTCGATGGGGCCCCCGACAGCCGCGGAACACCAGCACGCGGGCCGGAGAGGAAAAAGGCGGCCCGGGCGGAGCAGACAGACCCAGGCGGGCCGCCAAGCCGCGGGGGAGCCTGGACCGTCCACTCGCCACGGCGCCCGTCCGCGCGCACCTGCTGCTCCTCCGCCGGGCGGGAGCCCCGCGGCCCGCGGCCCAGGCAGGGGCCAGGGAGGGGTCGCGGGGCCCGTTACCTGCTCGGGCCCGTACATGTCGTCGCCGTACTCGTTGAGCAGGCTGTAGGCCTCCTCCACGCACTTGCGCTCGTTCATGTTGCAGGTGATGAGGATGCCCTGCAGCCCGGGCTCCAGCTGCCGCGGCCCGCCGCCCTCGCCGCGCCGCGCCCGCTTCGCCGGCAAGTACTGGGCCTTGCCTTTGCGCTTCCAGCCGGGCTGGGGCTGGGGCATGGGGGCGGCCATGGCGGCGAGCGCGGGGAGGGTGGGGGAAGAAAGCGGAAAAAAACGTGTCTCGCCGAGGGCCGGGCGGCGTCCTCGCTCCGGCCGGCGCGGCAGGATGACGTCAGGCGGGCGCGACGGCCGCTGCCGGCCCCGCCTCCGCCAGGCCCCAGTCCGCGCTGCGCTGGGCCCTAGCGCGCTCCCTCCGGGCCGCGTGGACGGTCTCCTTCCTTCCGCCCTGCCCGAGGGGGCGGTGGTGGTGGAGGCCAGGGTGGACCTGCCTGGAGGACTTGCAGGCTAGTCCTTGCATCTTCTCCTACACGGACTCAGTTTGTTTATTGAGCAGCTGGGTGCTCGGTCATTCTTACTGGAGATCGTCTCTCCCAGGACTAGAATTGGGGTCACAGGCAAAACAAGATAGCCTTTGCGCTCACAGTGTTAGTACTGGCCAGAGCTGCTTCTTGTTTTTAATGCCATTTATACTTTAATAAAAGTGTTTAAAAAAAAAGACGACCCAGAAACAAAACATTTTATGGCTTAACCCCCAGTTCCACAAGCAACATGTATGTGATCAAGTAGAAAGTTTGTTAGAAACACAACCACATGAGATTGTCTAATTAAATTCCTTTAGAAAATTTCTTCTGATCAAAAAAAAAAAAGAACCCCTAAAAAGAGCACATGAAATAGAGCAAAGAAACTTTCTCTAATAAATCGTGTTGTAAATACTGGACAGCGACATCGCCAGACAGAACAACAATGGTTGATCTTCCTTGAACCATTGATCTTCCTTTTTTGAAACTAAAATAAACAGGCATTGCCTCTTCTTTTGTTGCTCCCATTTTTCCTTTCTTCTTTCCTTTTGTTTTTTAAGCTGTGATTGGCAATGCCTTTAATGACGGGGGTTTCAGTCAGACATTGCAACCACACACCCTCCACCAAGTGTCTGCTACCCTCTACCACAATATTATATTTCAACCTTCCAGAGTTTAAGGAAGAGCATCTTTCATTCAGATCCATTTAGTGATAAGGGATTATGGTGACCTTTTCAATCATTATAATGTTATTGTGATAAGGGATTATGGTGACCTTTTCAATCATTATAATGTTATTGTGAATAAGGGTTGAGTCACTATTGAGGTACATAAGGAAGTACTTATGAATTAAATCATTTTGTAAAATTAAGGCCTAGAAAAAGAAGAGTAGGTAGGCATATAAGTGAAATAAGATTAAATATGTTGACAATTTTAGAACTATATGATGGTTCTTAGGGCTCTTTATATTATTCTAGCTATGTGCATATAATTGTTTAAAATTTTTTGTGATAAGCAAGAGACAAAGAGAGAAGAAAAGGCTACAACAATAGATATTCATTTTTGGAAATGTTTGTTATAAAAGGGAGAAAAGAAACATGTAAATGGTTTAAGATATTTTAATAAGGGAAATATTGCCAAGTACTTGGGGTTGATTGTCTTTCTCTGCGATAACTTCTAGTTCAAAAAAGGGGAGGAAATTTCTGATACAGGAGAGAAGAGAAATCATGTTCTTCAGTAGGGGAGAATAAATGGTGTCAACTGCACAGAGAAAGTTTAGCACAGCTGGGAGTCTGGATAACCAATAGTCACTGGAAGAAATGCAGAGACATGCAATAATATTGGTTCATTAAGTGGTACAGGGTTGAAGACTTTCTCACCTGGCTACTTATAAATGTTTTTCAAGAAGGAGAAAGGAAAAGTGAGAAAATTAACATTGTTACCATCAAGGTGATGATAAGAGATATTAAAATTTAAAACACTTCTATGAAAAAGACAGATGGCCAACACACACATAAAAAAAATGTTCACCATCACTTGGTATATGTAAAATTAAAATAAAAATGTCAGTGAGATATCATTTCACACCACAAAAAGTGGCATACATTTAAAAAACAAACAAAAGAAACCCGACCTTAGAACAATCTATGTTGGTGGGATATAGTGAAAAAGGAACTCTCATCTGCTGCTTGTGGGAACGTTGCCTGCTTCAGCCCCTATGGAAAAGAAAAATAGTATGGAGGTGTCTCAGGGAAGTAATAATGGAGCTGGCATATGACCCATAAATTCAAATTCTTGGTATTTATCCCTAAGGCACAAAAATATTAATTGAAAGGAAAGAGAATACTACACAGCTGCAAGGAAGGATGAAATCATGCAATTCACTTCAACTTGAGTGAAACTTGAGATTATGATGTTTAGTAAAGTGAGCAAAAAGAAGGAGAATGAAGAATATACGTTCTTCTCCAGTGCACGTGGAACATTTTCCAAAATAGACCACATGCCAGGCCACAAAACATACCTCAACAGAATCAGGAAGCTAGAAGTACTATCAACAATTTTTTTAGACCACAATGCACTGAAGATAGAAACTAATCACACACAGACACAAAGAACCAAATCAAACACCTGGAAATTAAACAACTCAATGTTGAACAATGAGTGGGTCAGGAAGGAAGTCAAGGACAAAATCAAAAGATACCTGGAAATAAATGAGAATGAAGACGCAAGCTACCAGAACCTGTGGGGTGCAGCTAAAGCCATGTTAAGGGGAAAATTTATAGCTCTGCAAGCATTTTTCAGGAAGGAAGAAAAGGCCCACATAAACAACTTGACTTCAGAGCTCAAGATCTTAGAAAGGGACCAACAAAAGGAGCCCAAACCAGGCAGAGGGAAAGATATCATAAAACTTAGAACAGAAATCAACGACATGGAAACCCCCCAAAAATCCGAAAGATCAGTGAACCCAAGAGCTGCTTCTTCGAGAAAATAAACAAGATATATTAAACCACTTGCAAGACTCACAAAGAAATAGAGAGAGAGAGCCCTAATAAACAGAATCAGAAATGAGAAGGGGGATATCACAACAGAAACCAAAGAAATTCAAAAGATTATCAGAGACTACTTTGAAAGTCTGTATGCCACAAAACAAAGAGAACCTAGAAGAAATGGATAAATTCTTGTATTCTTATAATTTCCCAAGGCTGAATCAAGAAGATCTAGAATACCTGAACAGTCCTGTTAACATCAAGGAAATTGAAACTGTAATCAAAAGTCTTCCCAAAAACAAAAGTCCAGGTCCAGATGGATTCAATAGCGAATTTTTCCAAACATTTAAAGAGGACCTATTACCAGTTCTTCTCAGGCTTTTCCAGGAATTTGAAGAAACATAAACTCTCAAAAACAGTTTCTATGAAGCTCATATCTCTCTAATAGCGAAAGGAAACCAAAACACCACAAGAAAAGAAAACTACAGGCCGATATCCCTGATGAACACGAATTGCGAAGATCCTCAACAAAATACTACCAAACAGAATTCAACAACTCATCAAAAGGATCACACACCATGACCAAGTGGGATTCACCCCGGGGTTGGAAGGATGTTTAATATTCAGAAATCAATCAACATAATCCATCATATCAACAAAAGATAAAAACCATATGGTCATATCAGTAGATGCAGAGAAGGTATTTGATAAGATCCAGCACCCGTTTACGATGAAAACACTCACCAAATGGGGAGAAAAGGGACTTTCCTCAATATAGTTAAAACCATCTACCACAAGCCTATAGCAAGCATCATCCTCAATGGGGAAAAATGAAGAGCCTTCTCTCTAAGATAAGGGATGAGGCAAGGATGCCTACTCTCTCCACTGCTGTTCAATAAAGTACTGGAAGTACTTGCAATAGTGGTTAGGCAAGAAAAAGATATAAGGGACATTCAGGTAGGAAAGGAAGAAATAAAGCTCTCAATATTCACAGACGACATGATACTGTATTTGGAGAACCCTAAAACCTCTACCAAGAAACTCCTAGAAACAATAAACTTGTATAGTAAAGTTGCAAGCTATAAAATCAATACCCAAACGTCCATGGCTTTCCTATATGCAAATAATGAGAGAGAAGAAAGTGACATGGAAAAAAAATCCTGTTCAAAATTGTGCCCCAGAAAATCAAGTACCTAGGAATCAGCTTAACTAAGGAGGTACAAGACTTGTACAAAGAAAACTACAAAATGCTACTTCAGGAATTAAAAAAAGACACGAGGAAACGGAAAGATATCACCTGCTCATGTATCAGGAGAATTAACATTGTCAAAATGGCAGTAATCCCCAAAGCATTGTACAAATTCAGTGTGATCCCTATAACGATACCCAGGTTTCTTCAAAGAAATGGAGCAAACACTCCTGAAATTCATATGGAACAATAAGCACACACAAATAGCTAAGGCTATTCTTGGGGAAAAGAAAATGGGAGAAATTAACTTCAAACTCTACTACAAAGCAGTAATAATTAACATGGTACTGGAACAAAGGCAAAGCTGCAGACCAACGGAACAGGGTTGAATATACTGACATCTCCCCCCCAAACATACGATCATCTAATCTTTGATAAGGGGGCAAGAAATGTGAAGGAAAAGGAAAGGAAAGCCTCTTTAACAAATTGTGCTGGCAAAACTGAATGGCTACATGTAAAAAAATGGGCTCAGATCTCTACCTAACACCAGGTACAAAAGTAAGATCAAAATGGATTAAAGACCTCAACATCAGACCAGAATCCATAAGGTACATTGTAGACAAGGTTGGCAAAACCCTCCACGACACTGAAAAAAATGGTATCATCAAAGATGTCATGCCACTGGCCACGCAAGTGAAAACAGAGATAGACAAATTGGACTGTCTTAAATTAAGAAGCTTCTGCACCTCAAAAGAAACAGTGACCAAAATACAAAGACAGTCTACAGAATGGGAAAGGATATTCTCCCAATACCCATCCGACAAGGGGTTGATATCAAGGATATACAAAGTACTGGTTGAACTCCACAAGAAGAAAACACCCAACCCCATCAAAAATGGGGCGATGAATTGAACAGAAACTTTCTCAAAGAAGAAATCCAAATGGCAAAAAGGCACAGGAGAAAATGCTCTACATCATTAAATCATCAGGGAGATGCAGATCAAAACAACAATGAGATACTATCTCACACCACAGAGA